TAATTTATTATGCTATATGTAGAATTTAGACACATTTTTTTATTATATCCACTTTTTTTAGTTTTTCTTTTTCAATTTTATTTCAATGACTCCGTCTATGATTATAGTTACTTCATTCTTATTGCTCTCTCATTTTACCTGGTGTCTCTTGTTTTTTTTTTTTTTTTTTTTTTTTTGTTTTTTTTTTCTTGCTTTGTTTTACTTCTTATTTGCTTGTATGTATATTTATATGAATTACCTATTAAGTTATTGCTAGAATGTTTTGAAAATTAAAAATTAGCGCTTAAAAATTTCACTTCTACGCTTTTTGCTTTTCTTTTTTTGAATTTAAATTCATTTATTATATTTCAATATTTTTTTTTGCTTGCTCTTTTATGTTTTTGCTTCGATTTCACTCATTTACTATACAAGCTCTCTAATTAAATTAATTACTGGTATTTGATGCGCTTTTTATAGTTCATAGCATATATAGTTAATATGCATTGCATGTGGTATTGTTTTGTTCTTTTTGTTTTTGTTTTTGTTCTTGGTTTATGTTATATAGCATCTATATTTTTAGCGTTTCAATGCATTAACAATATATTTTCTGCATTTTTTTCACTTATTTAGCAAATGTTTATTTATTTCTTTTTGTTTTGTTTTTGTATGCGTTTCTACTGTTATGTTTTACTTCTTTTGTGTTTTAGAAAAAGTTACTTACTTAGTATTTGCATTAATTATAATTAATTATGTTAAGACTAAACGCTCGCGTTACAATTATTTTCTTTTTGTAAAGTATTTTTCGTAAACATTCGTGAAATATGCTATGTGCTGTTGCTGCTATATTTACTTTCTTTTGCAATTTTACCTACCGACGGCATTTGTTCTTTAATTTTGTTTTTTCTTCATATATATTATATATTAAGCTATTATTATTTACGTTTCCATGCTTGCACTGTCTTATTTTATTAGGTTTAGGTTTACGCTTCTTCTATGCAGTTTGGTGAAGCTCGCAAACAATGTTGTATGTGTATGCATGTATATACGTATGTATGTATGTTTCATGTGCGGTTTTCGTTCGGTGTGCTGCAGTCACTTAAGTCGCTGTGTGAGTGTGTGTGTAGGCAATAAGATGACATTCGGTGTTCTTACAATAGGTGATTATTTAGATGCTTCTATCAAATTTGAAAACAAAAGCATTCGGAATTCACTACACCGCAATCAGTACACACTAATATCAAAAATAAGATAAAGCCAAGGACGTAAAATGTGGTAATTGTAACACTTGGTTAAATTGAAGTCAATTCAGTGAAATCCAATTGTTTTTTAGGTGGAGAAAAATTAAAAAAAAAACCGACATTAATAATATGACATTTAAAATTCTTAAAATTAGAATAAAAAAAAATTACGTAATTAAAAA